ACATTATTCCATATATATTTTCCAACTTCCGACACATGTTTATGTTTATGGGCTTTAACAGGTTGATTCCTGGTTGCATCAAAGCTGAACGTATGATATAAAAGGGAAACCAAAGCCAGTTAGCACTGCATCCTGTCCAGAGTCACTTAGCCACAAAGAATCCAGAAGGCACAGAAACAGGAATTCTAACACTGACACTGGTAAAGAACTGGACTTGAGGAATGATTCTTGTGCCCCACTGACTTAGGTGCTGGGTGCAGGATCCAGGTGTACGGTTGTTTTGTGTCCCAGAGAGCTCAGCGGCCAGATGCTGACCTACACTGGCTCTCCAGCACTCTGCTCTATACTGCTTGACTTGCCCAGAGTGAGGGATCTTTAGCAGATCAGAGAACTCAGCCTTTAAGCTTTACATCATCAGCTCTATTTTATAACATGGAATTATTCTGTAGTTGTCAAATGCAACAGAACCATAACCAGCACAATTTGAAATTTTAATATACAATATAATTCAATCAAATGAAAATTTCAAACTGGTTTGGATTGAATTTAAAAAAATCAAAAGAGCTATAATGAGTAGTTTATGTAAATTAAACAATTCTTTCTGGATACATTCCTTCTGGCTTTAAACCCATTACATTAGGAATGAATTTGGCACAATATACAGAAATATCAAATGCTTATTGAAATTAACACATTTAAATACCAATGAATATTTAAACTACAAATAGTTCTCTGAATGGCAGAACTAATCAACTCTGGTTTCTTACGGATTTTTCTGTGGTTGAAGTGTATCATCTTACAGCCTCCCTCAATCACATGGATTCTTGGGAATCTACGAGTGCTATGCTATTCTCCTCTGTAAGCATTTATAGGATCTCCCTCCTTACCTAAACACCCGCTGTAATGAAACATGCACGAGTCTAGCAATTATAAAATAACGCCTTTGAATGTGGTTTCAAGTTGATTAGTGTTGTTCAACTGTATTAATCCAGTACTTTGCTCCAATAATTCCACGTTTCTATGTAGATACAAGGCTCTGCCACTTAGATACTTTCATTTACACGTGTCCTCACTTTGGAGAAAAGCACTGTGTAAAATCCGCACATTACTGCATATGAATGAAGTGTTACTTACTCCACATTGGATGCCAGGCATTCATTTTTATCTTGAATATTTAACTGTTGCATTTGAACCACTGTTACCTATTGCTTTGTACAAGCTATTCTGGACTCTGTAATATCAACTCTTGCCTAAGTCTTAAAATGAAAACTCACAGGTGTTGTGTGGAATAACTACAGTGGGCTATTAAGAAGCCAGAACATCAAACAGGACACCCCACTCCTGCGTTACTTACGTGTGCCCACTTCTCATTCCATGTCTCAGGGCTGTGTCGCTGACGTTCCTTTTGCACCCAGGGGTAGCATTTCAGATGTGAAATAATGTCACAATAGGCAGTGCCATTTCCTCCACGCTCATCATTCACTTTAAACAACCAGCGCTGCACTTCCATATTGTCTACAATGAGCTGGCTGAGAACACTGATCATCTGCGGAGCAATCACACAGAGATATTTTGGGCTATGGTTCTTCAATTTAGACTTCCAGTTCTCATACAACCGGACTTGAAATTTATTGTCTAAACACAGTTTCTTTATCCCAGAGATGCTCATGTTGTTACAGTATCTTGGATACGCAGCAAAATCAACCTTGAACATCTCTGATAAAGACTCTGTGGCCTTCATCCTGTACTTGAGTCCACCAAACAGCACTGAACACTTTTGCTGGTCAGAGCAGCTGTGCTCTGAGCAAGAAATTTGCCTGTCCAAGCTGTTTTGTCTGATGAGGACCTTAGGTTTTGGATAATCAGTACTGCTCAATAAACATTTGTGACAGGGAGCGACATGGGGTGGACTACACTATCTGCAGTATCTAAGAAACAATTGTGCCAGATTCCAACACCAGCCAAACAGCTGGGAAATTTTCCTACTGGAGAGCATGTTCTCTGGTTATAAATGTAGGAAGGAGTTACCAAGCAGCCTTTATAAAAATGCTAATTATTTATTTGTGTATGTACACAGATTGAAATGGCTTTTAAAATGCCTTTTGCCCAGCTGGTGTAGGATGCAATTAGCTTCTTAGAAGCTGCAAATGCCTTTGAACCTGGTAGAAGTGTTATAAGATCCTGTCGCGTTGGCTACAGCCTTCTACATTTTTACATAGTAATTTGGGGGACTTTTGTTTCTTGTTTTTTAATGTTGACCTAAAATACAGTTCCATGTGTGTCCTGATGCTATTATTTGTGGCTTTTGAGAATCACATAAATGTTTTTTTCTTGATGACTCCCCTACAGTAATGATAAGGATCAATAACCCTGTATGGACTGTACCAGTCATAAAGAATTATGTGCTATCCTTACATGAAAATGGAATTGTGCTTTAACGTAGCATCACCTTGCTTTGATTATTTAACCTAAAATGCCAATATTTCATACAAGCAAACAGAAGTAGGACTTCCGTAACACTGTAGTAGCACTCACAAGCATTTGATTCACATAAATTATTTAACAATAAATCGGTTGGGGTTTAGATCATTGATCATGTATTTATTTCATCTACTACAGAAGTTGCAGTGTTTGTGTAGCTGAGATTGTTTTCAGCACTAAAGGTGATTAATAAATAGCAAAGCAACGTGAAAAGCCTCTCTAAGAAGTAGGAATTCCTGCAAATCATGGCTTTCATTTTCCTGTATGAGATGTAGCAGCACCATAAAAATATATTTAAAAAGAATCAGTACAGATCATATTTAGACATATCATTGCAAATTGCAAAACCAGGTTATAGAATGAATGCTCTGAATGCAAAATAAGCAGATGCAAACTGAACCCAATACAGAAAACTCTTGTGCCTTGTAGTTTAAGTAATATTTTGTTCTTTTCTTAGGGGTAACACTAACAAGATAGGTGACTTTAGCAGCAATAAGCTGGATACAGAGCAAACTTTGGTTACAGATACACTCAATAAGCCTCAGTTTGAATAAGCTGCCTAAGTGCAAGAAATGTTCCTTTCATCAAACACCTCATTTTCCCAGAATTCCTTGTTCCATTTTCTGTCACTGGTAAAAAACTCCAACTAATTTCATTGAGGCCACAACTTCATGGAGCAGCAACACAAACTCTTTGAAATAACCAGACCAAACACTCTTATATATTCTCAAGGAAGACTACAGTGAATGCAGAACAATTGGGTTACTGCCTGACCAGGGTACAAATTGCATTTAATTGGTCAGGTAGAACCAAAGAAGAACCCAACCTCACACATGGTTTTATGAAACCCAGTCAGGGCCTGGTCTAATCAATACAGTCATTGCAATCATATAATGTTTGCACCCTACCAAGTGAAAACAGGCACCTGGGAGTTGCCCTGTCCCACTTACCTGCTCCTTGTTGTAGATGTCTGACTCTCCAGGAGGGGTTGGCACACAGGCACTGGCAAAAATGCGTTTACTTCCAGACTTGGTACTATAGAGATGAGCCACTTCTGGCACCGAGCCTAATATAGGCACATTTAGCATGTCAGCCACAGCTAAATCATCATTGTGGGGAACCCCTCCAACAATGTAGGCAGCTCTGCTCTGGAGAAGAGTTCTTATTCTCTTGATTGTCTTGGGACTGTACTTCAGCAGCGTGGCCAGGCACATGTGATGCTCCTGGAGAAAGATAACGTTATTCTTGTTAAAAGGTGTTCTTTTCTATTCCATGAAACTCATTTATAATGTTGCACACAATAAATACATTATTAATAGCAGGCTGGGTTATGACCTATCCTGTAGCTTAGCAGTTTAAATTGATAAAAGCTGTTGGGGTGAGGCTCCATAATCGTGCACATCTTTAGTGTGCTGGAAATGGGCTCATTGGGAATAGAACTAATTACTACACATCTGTATTTATTTGATCCATGTGGAATTATCCTTCTGTCAGTCGGCAGAGAGGCTGGTGGCCTTTGGATAATAGTGATTCATCTCAGCAACACTTCTGGCATGGTTTAACTCTAAAGCTCCTAAAAATCAATAACAAAAATGAAGAACACCCTCCCTATAGCAGGGGATGTATTTCACCATACAGTTCAGCAGTGTTTTAAGTGATTCTCTGAGAATAAACCACTTTGATTTACCAAAGCTTGCTCTGATCACATTAAATTACTGGGGATATACAGTTCCACTACATGGTATTTCTGATAGCTACTGTAAATGGAACTGCAGAGTACTCAAGGGTGGTATATACGTTGTTTAAAGTACAAGGGCTTCAACTTTTTGGAAGGAATTTTTCATTTCAAAAAACAAGCTCTATTGTTGAGTAAGGTGATGATGACAGATGCTGTAACCTCTAAATTTAAACTAAGAATATCAGGTGAAACCTCAAAAATATTTCCTACCACATATCCTATGCACAGCCTGCAGATAACCCAGTTCTCTTTGCAAAGATATGGAGGTGCACTGAGGTCAAGACAGACAGGGATGGACATGATGCAGAGATAGTACAAGAGGCATCCACTGCAATAGATTGCCATAAATCATAATTTTTACAAGGAGAAAATCATCTTTACGTTTTGATTTCATCTTATTTAGACCCTAGTCAGGATAGTTTTCAGGCCAGCATAACTACTGGATTTGCTAGGGATTTCCAGGACTGGGGAACCCAAAATATTTTCCTTCAAAGTCATGGATGCTCCTTCACAGGATCTCGAGTACAAATCCTGATTTGGATGGAGATGAAGGTGGAAAAGGAGAAGGGGGAGCCCGCGGAAGCAGACATGAGGAATCCCCTTTTAGCAGTTCCTCAGCGCTTTTTCATACCAAACAGCTCCAAGAAGCACCCAGGTCTCTTTATAAAAGTCAGACATACTGCAAGGACAGTAAAGATGTAAGTCAGAGACATAAGATACTCTTCAAAGTTCTAGTAGGAAGAAGGGAGTCCTAGTAATGCAAGGGCAAAAAGAACAACAAACAGGTTTCCTGGAGCCTTTTTCCTCCCATCAGTTTTAAACCCCAGACTTTCCACGTTGTGATTTCTGTTTCCTTTCTCTTGAAGCCCTGGGATAAAGCAGGGACATGGCCCATTCTGCTGGTCTTGTGGCCGAGTTCTGCCACAGAGAGAAGAGGATCAATTTCCAGCCCCGGTCACTTGCTCCCTGGGGCCACGAGTGGTGATGTAGGGACGAGATTTGCTTTGTGTCTCTCAATAATGGATTTTACAGTTAATTAAAGAGTGCAGGAAACAGGCTGTAAAATCTAGTTCATTCCTGC